CCAAAGGATTGGACCCGCGCGCTGCCAGCGCTGGGCCTGGGCGCGAGCTGGGCGCGGGAAATGCTGTCTTAGGCTGCACGCGAGAATCACTTGGGCCGAGACCATAGCACATGTAGGGCTGAATAATGCTGAACCAAGGGAGGAAAAATACTTAGAAAAATACACCATCTCACTCGGTCATGACCAAGGCCTTAGCATGGTGTCGCACGAGGCTAGCCTGCGTATTGCTTGGGCTCGGCGTTAGGGACTTGGCCCGAGAAGAACTTGCTCGGGTAAACGCTGATTACAAGAACCCCTATACTTAGAAAAATTTCAACCATCACTCGGCTATAAATAGGGCCATCTTGGCACTGCTTTGGTGCACACTCACGAACCTTGGCGCGAGTGACTTTGGCCACGCACGAGCTTGATGGGGTTATACTAGGCCGAGGGAAACGATGACTCGGGCTTGATAAAATGATCTCATACTTAGAAAAATATTCGAAGTAAGGCTATCAGCATGGCTAGGGCTCGAACAAAACTCGCGACCGAACGACTCGATTCCGGACACGGCTTAACTTGGACGATTTATCGAAATATACTCGGTTTCGATTATTCGTCAACTGAAATAATTAATTCCGACTGAATAAAATCCATTGATAAAATAAATGGACCGAAATTAATAACTGAGATTGAATAGCTGATAACTGGGCTCAGAACTCAAGATGAGCAGTATTAATAAAAGAAATAGTTCAACTAGGAACTAAAAACTGTCATTTTTATTAATACAGAACTGGGCTATTACAATCTATCTCCCTTAAATATATTTCCGTCCTCGGAAATGCTAAAACTGGAGAAATACATACAAGAACTGAATATAAACAACTGGATACGATCAGAACTGAAAATCTGGGAAACAAGCTCTGATGTCTGCCTCGCGCTCCCAAGTGGCATCTGAATCTCCGTGGCCATTCCATCTGATACGAACGAGGGGAACACCTCGGTTCCTGAGCCGAAGGACCTTTCGATCCAGAACTGCTACCGGCTGCTCCTCGTAAGTCAAATCTGGCTGAAGCTGAATGTCGCTGTGCTGAAGCACATGTTCGGGATCGCACACGTATGGGCGTAGCATCGAAAAGTGAAACACGTTGTGCACACCAGCCAACTCAGGAGGCAGAGCTAATCGATAGGCGACTTCGCCCACTCGCTCGAGAACCTCGCACGGGCCTATATAGCGAGGATGAAACTTCCCTCTCTTCCCGAAGCTAACGACACCTCTCATCGGTCGAACCTTCAAGAATACATGATCTCCGGGCTCAAAATGCATCTCTCGTTTATGCTGATCGGCTGAGGACTTTTGCCGACTCTGGGCTGTCTTGAGCCTCTCTCTGATCCAAGTTACCTACTCAATTGTCTCCTCGATCAACTTCGGACCGAGTACTCGTCGCTCTCCGACGTCATCCCAATAAAGAGGCGACCGACACTTGCGACCACACAGTGCTTCGTAGGGAGCCATCTGAATAGACGCCTGATAACTGTCGTTATAGGCGAACTCAGCTAGTGGCAGCCACTTCTCCCACTTAGCACCTCTGTCCAGAATCAAGGCTCGGAGCATATCCTCGAGCGTCTGGATCGTCTTCTCGGACTGGCCGTCCGTCTCTGAATGGTAAGCCGAACTGAACTTTAGCTGGGTGCCCATCGCCTCATGTAAACTCTCCCAGAATCGGCTGGTGAATCTGGGATCTCGATCGGATATGATCGTAGCGGGCACTCCGTGGAGTCGGATAACACCACGAGCATAAATCTTGGCTAACTGATCCATCGACATGGTCATCGTCACAGGCATAAAATGTGCGACTTTCGTCAGCCTGTCTACCACTACCCAAATCGCGTCATGATGCTCGGACGACTTAGGTAGTCCCGTGACGAAGTCCATGGTAACCTCTTCCCACTTCCAACTGGGAATCTCAAGTGGCTATAGCAGACCTATAGGACTCTTGTGCTCGGCATTAACCTGTTGATAGACCAAACACTTCTTCACGAAGTCTGCTACATCTCTCTTCATTCCTCGCCACCAGAACGACCTTCTCAGGTCGTGGTACATCTTGGTACTCCCAGGGTGGGCTAAATATGGCGCACTGTGGGCCTTAGTCAGGATTTCCTTGCATAACGTCCCAACTTTTGGCACGACAATGCGGCCTCTGAACTCCAAGGCTCCATCTGTGCCTCGGTAAAGGCCCTCTATGCCTCCGGCGTGAATCTTCGCCTCCAAAGTGCGAATGAATTGATCGCAGGATTGCTCCCGCCGGATTCTGTCTCTCAGCATGGGCTGAACTCGCATCGAGCTAACACTTGTAACGCCCCACTTTGATTTTAAAGAAATTCCAGACTTTTAGAAAAATCAGAATAAATTTTTCAAAATTTATTTCAACCATTTGTGGCGTTACTCATTTATTTCAAGTTATTACTATAACATAATCATCTAACTCCCAAAACGGGATTCATAAATCCATAAATCATCAATTCGCCCAAATTGGGTTCCCAAAATAAAACATAAGTTTTCAAGACATAACAATTTCAACGGGGCATCTCCCCAATAGTATCTCAATACCTCATAAATTCTCAAAGTTCGAAAATACATAAATCATAAATAGTTATAACTATAGCGGAAGAAAAATCAATTAATAACCGGTCTCATAGACCGACTACCACTCGCTCTACTCCGCCATCGTGCCTGCCTTGCTTAACCTGAAACGTGAATTTCAGGTGGGGATGAGCACAGTTGGAAATCGTAGTGCTCACCACTATGCAATAAACAATTTTCATAGTATATACAGTAAAAGAAGTAGTATAATCATAGCATGTATAAGAATCAATTGAATATCCCAACTTTTTCAATATAAATTCACAGTGTTCAGACTCATGTGCACATCTATACCAATAGACTACTGCCAGTAGACGTTTCGAATGCCCCTCGGGCTTCTATCGAATGCCCCATGGGCTTTACGTCTATGCCCCTCGGGCTTATACACCGAATGCCCCTCGGGCTTCTATCGATGCCCAGTCAGTAGGAGTAACCCCTCGGGTTTTCATTTCATAAATACAGGGACAACCGTTCGACGGCCGGTACAGCTCACATCGAAGGCTACATGATTCGTAGACATACATCAATCATACACAAGTAAAGAAAACTATTTATTGCATAGACAATTTTTAATAAAAACCCACCTGGTCGGAATCGAGACAAAATCACAAATTGAGTGTAGGCGGCGAGTTCGACTCGTTAAGCACCTACATTTAATAAAATAGCCCTATCAAAGACTATTTGACAACCACATAGTCCAACTAAGCTTACATCAGCATTTAAACGGGCATTAAAGCAAGGAAATCATATTTCCGAAAATATCACATTAGTTTTAAAAACTTAACCCGGGCAGCGTTTGTAAAACCAACACAACTTTCAGTACACAACTCATATGATTATGAATCAAGTTGCATTGGCATACTAAGATACTAATCTACAATTCTTATGAAGACACCGAAAGCAAATAAGGTCATTTAGCAAGTGATAAATCAACAAACATTCAAAAAAAATGAGTCACAGTCCAAAACTGGGTAATGCACTTGACCAGCCCTCAGTAATTACTCTCTAACTGAAGCTACAGACATGATTTTAATGAAATTCAAAAACGACATGATAGATAACTCAAATTTCTACAACTTTCATGAAGGTCACTTTGGCAAATAAATACATTTTTAATTAGTTTAAACACAAAACATTTGGTTCAGCAAATCTGTCAAGAACTAACATGTGATATGGACAGCACTTCAGTTTTTACAACCTAGACCGAGCTACAGACCTTCAAATGACATGGTTCAAGTTTCAAATTAAATCTTACGCATGCCTCTACAACTTTTATTTAGAACAAAGAAATATTTAAGATCATTTGGATAGGGTAAAATCAGTTCACATTCCATATCAGATGTCTGCCAAAGTAATAAGTCCCAACTCATGCATGTCTAACTTCATACGAGAACAACTCGAGCTACAGAGCACGTATTGATATAAAATTTATCTCATTTGAAAGGTAAGAAACAGATCTACAACTTTTATGAAGGGCATAAGTTCATACGAGTACATTATGACATGAAAAACAGATCACACATTAAAATATATAAGCTGCCGGGTAACCAGAAAAACTGGACGCACACAAATCTTGTAAAAATCATAACTTTATCGATATAGCTCGTAATTGAGAAATTCCAAAGCCCAGATTTAGAAAACTGAACATACTACATTATATGTGAAGACCATATTTTCAAAGAACAGGTTTATGATGGCCTAAACGGCGTCACAACAGAACAGTAGAAACGCTATTCACATGAAATAACAATGAACACATATGACGAATATTCTAAGCTCGACCACGTTTAATATGACTTTTTCGACAGCAAATAAAACGAGTATATTGAGATTAACATAGTAACGACATGTTATTCAGTTTAACGAGGTCACGAGCATAACACGATAAACTGAACGACATATACGAGCCGATAATAATTCTAACCAAAAATCCGACTTCAAGCAAATAATTCGGAAACACGTATGATATATATATATATATATATACATATATATATATATATATATGTCATGTAATATACGAATACGACCGGAATAACGAGAGGGTTCGAAATGAGTTACCCACTTTCGAAAATTTACGAGATAACGGGGGAGAAACGGACCGAACAACGGCTCGGCCGAACGGAACTCCGAAAAATGAAACGAAAAGAGACGAACGGCACGTCGGCTCGACGGATTCTCGCGTCTCGCCGGGAACTAAGGTGCAGCAGCGGCTGAGGATGGGTCGTCGTTGCTGATAGTCGCAAGCTCGTCGGGGAAGGTCACCGGAAGTCAGGCTGGGGTGTTGCTCGCGGTGGGAGAAGAGCTCGCCTTTGGTCGGGGCGACGCTGCGCGTATAGGAAGAGGAGCAGCGGTGGTCACGACTTGGAACTATAGAATGGACTCGTGCGGTCTCGGTAAATGCTCGTATGAAACTCTCGACATGCGTACGATGGAGGTTGGGTGTGAAATAGTTTGCCGAGAGAAAAAGGTGGTATTTTGGCCGAGAGAAATTAAGATGGAAGAGAGAGTTTCCAAAATTCTCTTAAGTTTTGCGAGAGTTTCATTCGGATTTTAATTACTAGGCTAGAACAAAATATTGGTCAACCAAGCATTAAACTAATTGGAGTGGTTGAGGGAAAAAGAAAATTAAAATACTACTAGCCTCACTAGTATCATGAGGAGCCGGTTAAGTGGACTTCTTTCATGCTAGGAAACAAAATGAAAAGGGGACACATTTAATATAATAGTGATAGAAGGTGACATCTTCATCTAATCCATGTGAAGGGCCATATTGATTTAAATGTAGGAAAAATATATTCTAATGTCAAGGCATGAGAAGAGCTGGCCGGATATGAGGTGTTTCAAGTGTCCAAAAATATTTATGATAATACTCCATGTGCTCAAGAACTTGTCATGTGGTTTGTCAAAGAATAAAAATTGGAATGGAGACAAGGCTTGAATTTTAAAAAAATATGATAGTAGATGGCAACTTACTTAAAATATTGCATGGTGAAAGCATCTTGATATAGGTGTTGTATTTAAAATGTAAATACCATATGCTTAGAACATGAAGGGCCGTCCATTAGTCTTTGAAAAATCAACTCCATGTGAACTAAAAAAAATAAATAAATAAATAAATAATGGTCTTAGATGATCTTGGAAAAACCGAAACTTACACATTGCCATGTTCGGATTTTTCAAGGGATTTTAGCATAATTTAGCAAGTTCTAAAGTTGAGAACTAAATCACAAAGGCTAAGAAGAATTTGATAGGAAAAACGGTTAATGATGGTTCGAAAATAAAATATGACGACTCGTAAATCTTTTAAATTTACGGAATCGACATTATATATATTTATTAGCACACACTAATAAATACATCATCAAATAATCATTTCACTTTGGCAGTAAAATAAATAATACTGCCAACATATCCGTAAAATCCATTTTTCAAATGGATTATATTCGGTTCACATAACTAAACTGTATTCGTCGTACGACAACCGTTTTCCAGTAAAACGATCGAGTACTCCAACATTTTATTTAAGTCGACATAGCGACCAAATAAATTAATTATAACCTTATAAATAATATTCGATATATAGAATATCCCAAGAAATTCTAAAAATCGAACGAGTTGTTACAATCTATTCACATTAATTATTTAATACAAATAATAAACATTTAAACATTTAATTGAAAATTTGGCATTCATTAAATAATAATAATAATAATAACAATACATAATATTAATAATAAACAATCTCAACTAATCATTTCTAAAATAAACGGACCAGAATAAAATTCTAACACTAGCCCGATTACTGAATAGAATTTAACCGAGAATATATTTATTTTATCCACTTAATAATATAATATATATAATCATATTATCAAAGAAAATCAGAAAAATTCTAATATTCAAATGGGGCATTACAATCTATCCCCCTTAAAATTATTTCCGTCCTCGGAAATACTGAAACTAGAAATACATACAACTAGGCACATATGAAAACTCAAAATTCTGGAAAACACACTCTAATAACAGCTTCTAGCTACCAAGTGATCTTATATTAAAATATCAGTAGCCATCACAATAATACACGAGACAACATTATTACCGACATCTCACATCTGCTTTCGGCTGCATTAAATGCACTCTGATAGCAGATGAAGACATTCAGTATGTAATAATGCACAATCATCAATCATGCGCGTCGGTCACACCGATTATAAGCGTATCTCATACGCATCATTTGCCTATAAACTGGCTGCAAAAATCGACGATCTTCCTCAGCAATGGTCCGAACTAACAAATGGATCTAGCACTCTCCAATATTCGCAGATCTTATTCTTTTCTTCCACTTAATATCATAAAGAAAATTTATCGATATCGAGTGGAAAGATTGAGAGTGCTAATGCTCTATAATATACCAAATGATCTCCGATGGTTGATTGAAGCAAAAGTCCGACTATCTGGAGAATTTCCAAATTCTCACAAATATCTATCAGGTATGGGTAGAAGTACGTTTTCAAAGAAACGTAGAGCAAAACGATTAGGCGGATGCTTCAAATGTGCTCGATTGAATTGCGACACTCGATGTAAATCGGTAGGCTTTTTGTCTAACAATCGAGAAGATAAAATAACTTTCATAAAGGATGGCTTGAGTAAGGAATCTATGGATAAAACTCTCCAACAGATTCTTGAGACACATCCTAGTGGATATGTGCATCGAGAGATCATATCTTTATGGACTCAATTCAAAAATGAAGAAAAACTCTATAGTCTGGAAAATATTGTTTCCAATGATCATGTTTGTCAACATTGTTCTTGATAGTACCGATGTACTGTATATAAATATTATCGCTTCTGACAGATAAGAGTCATTTAAGACTCAACTACTTTCTTGTCGGGACTTCTCTTCTTTAAAAGGCAAATCTATCTTCTTAGCCAATTATCTCTTATAATAAATGGCTACTGCCGAGTCTTCTCAAGGTTCTAAACTTCTTCAGCCCCTCAGAACTGTGTGCATTCTTGGTGGTTCTAAATTTGTAAATGTTCCTCACAACATCTATGTTGTAAGCCAACTGGTGAAAGAGTTGGGAAAACATAACATCAACATACTTTATGGAGGAACTAGTATCTATTTCTTTAACAACCTCTTAATGGCTGCTAAATGCTTTGATATCCAGGTGAGAAGTATCCTTCCTTTTTATCTCACTTCATCAAAGGTGGTCAAAGATTCTGCTACTTTGATGATAACTCTTTCAATTTATGACTGCTTGATGTCTATGATATCTGGTTGTGATGCTTTCATCATTCTTCCTGGTGGATATGGAACTTTAATGACTACTTTTACCCTTGCTACTTGGGCAGAAATGAAATTTCATACCAAACCTATTGGTCTGTTAAATTTCAATAACTTTTTCCACCATTTGCTTGGATTTCTAGATGAAGGAGTGTATCAAACTTTTATATCTCCCTTTCAAAGAGAAATATTCAAGTCTGCAAACACATCTTCTGAACTTTGATTTTAAAGAAATTCCAGACTTTTAGAAAAATCAGAATAAATTTTTCAAAATTTATTTCAACCATTTGTGGCGTTACTCATTTATTTCAAGTTATTACTATAACATAATCATCTAACTCCCAAAACGGGATTCATAAATCCATAAATCATCAATTCGCCCAAATTGGGTTCCCAAAATAAAACATAAGTTTTCAAGACATAACAATTTCAACGGGGCATCTCCCCAATAGTATCTCAATACCTCATAAATTCTCAAAGTTCGAAAATACATAAATCATAAATAGTTATAACTATAGCGGAAGAAAAATCAATTAATAACCGGTCTCATAGACCGACTACCACTCGCTCTACTCCGCCATCGTGCCTGCCTTGCTTAACCTGAAACGTGAATTTCAGGTGGGGATGAGCACAGTTGGAAATCGTAGTGCTCACCACTATGCAATAAACAATTTTCATAGTATATACAGTAAAAGAAGTAGTATAATCATAGCATGTATAAGAATCAATTGAATATCCCAACTTTTTCAATATAAATTCACAGTGTTCAGACTCATGTGCACATCTATACCAATAGACTACTGCCAGTAGACGTTTCGAATGCCCCTCGGGCTTCTATCGAATGCCCCATGGGCTTTACGTCTATGCCCCTCGGGCTTATACACCGAATGCCCCTCGGGCTTCTATCGATGCCCAGTCAGTAGGAGTAACCCCTCGGGTTTTCATTTCATAAATACAGGGACAACCGTTCGACGGCCGGTACAGCTCACATCGAAGGCTACATGATTCGTAGACATACATCAATCATACACAAGTAAAGAAAACTATTTATTGCATAGACAATTTTTAATAAAAACCCACCTGGTCGGAATCGAGACAAAATCACAAATTGAGTGTAGGCGGCGAGTTCGACTCGTTAAGCACCTACATTTAATAAAATAGCCCTATCAAAGACTATTTGACAACCACATAGTCCAACTAAGCTTACATCAGCATTTAAACGGGCATTAAAGCAAGGAAATCATATTTCCGAAAATATCACATTAGTTTTAAAAACTTAACCCGGGCAGCGTTTGTAAAACCAACACAACTTTCAGTACACAACTCATATGATTATGAATCAAGTTGCATTGGCATACTAAGATACTAATCTACAATTCTTATGAAGACACCGAAAGCAAATAAGGTCATTTAGCAAGTGATAAATCAACAAACATTCAAAAAAAATGAGTCACAGTCCAAAACTGGGTAATGCACTTGACCAGCCCTCAGTAATTACTCTCTAACTGAAGCTACAGACATGATTTTAATGAAATTCAAAAACGACATGATAGATAACTCAAATTTCTACAACTTTCATGAAGGTCACTTTGGCAAATAAATACATTTTTAATTAGTTTAAACACAAAACATTTGGTTCAGCAAATCTGTCAAGAACTAACATGTGATATGGACAGCACTTCAGTTTTTACAACCTAGACCGAGCTACAGACCTTCAAATGACATGGTTCAAGTTTCAAATTAAATCTTACGCATGCCTCTACAACTTTTATTTAGAACAAAGAAATATTTAAGATCATTTGGATAGGGTAAAATCAGTTCACATTCCATATCAGATGTCTGCCAAAGTAATAAGTCCCAACTCATGCATGTCTAACTTCATACGAGAACAACTCGAGCTACAGAGCACGTATTGATATAAAATTTATCTCATTTGAAAGGTAAGAAACAGATCTACAACTTTTATGAAGGGCATAAGTTCATACGAGTACATTATGACATGAAAAACAGATCACACATTAAAATATATAAGCTGCCGGGTAACCAGAAAAACTGGACGCACACAAATCTTGTAAAAATCATAACTTTATCGATATAGCTCGTAATTGAGAAATTCCAAAGCCCAGATTTAGAAAACTGAACATACTACATTATATGTGAAGACCATATTTTCAAAGAACAGGTTTATGATGGCCTAAACGGCGTCACAACAGAACAGTAGAAACGCTATTCACATGAAATAACAATGAACACATATGACGAATATTCTAAGCTCGACCACGTTTAATATGACTTTTTCGACAGCAAATAAAACGAGTATATTGAGATTAACATAGTAACGACATGTTATTCAGTTTAACGAGGTCACGAGCATAACACGATAAACTGAACGACATATACGAGCCGATAATAATTCTAACCAAAAATCCGACTTCAAGCAAATAATTCGGAAACACGTATGATATATATATATATATATATACATATATATATATATATATATGTCATGTAATATACGAATACGACCGGAATAACGAGAGGGTTCGAAATGAGTTACCCACTTTCGAAAATTTACGAGATAACGGGGGAGAAACGGACCGAACAACGGCTCGGCCGAACGGAACTCCGAAAAATGAAACGAAAAGAGACGAACGGCACGTCGGCTCGACGGATTCTCGCGTCTCGCCGGGAACTAAGGTGCAGCAGCGGCTGAGGATGGGTCGTCGTTGCTGATAGTCGCAAGCTCGTCGGGGAAGGTCACCGGAAGTCAGGCTGGGGTGTTGCTCGCGGTGGGAGAAGAGCTCGCCTTTGGTCGGGGCGACGCTGCGCGTATAGGAAGAGGAGCAGCGGTGGTCACGACTTGGAACTATAGAATGGACTCGTGCGGTCTCGGTAAATGCTCGTATGAAACTCTCGACATGCGTACGATGGAGGTTGGGTGTGAAATAGTTTGCCGAGAGAAAAAGGTGGTATTTTGGCCGAGAGAAATTAAGATGGAAGAGAGAGTTTCCAAAATTCTCTTAAGTTTTGCGAGAGTTTCATTCGGATTTTAATTACTAGGCTAGAACAAAATATTGGTCAACCAAGCATTAAACTAATTGGAGTGGTTGAGGGAAAAAGAAAATTAAAATACTACTAGCCTCACTAGTATCATGAGGAGCCGGTTAAGTGGACTTCTTTCATGCTAGGAAACAAAATGAAAAGGGGACACATTTAATATAATAGTGATAGAAGGTGACATCTTCATCTAATCCATGTGAAGGGCCATATTGATTTAAATGTAGGAAAAATATATTCTAATGTCAAGGCATGAGAAGAGCTGGCCGGATATGAGGTGTTTCAAGTGTCCAAAAATATTTATGATAATACTCCATGTGCTCAAGAACTTGTCATGTGGTTTGTCAAAGAATAAAAATTGGAATGGAGACAAGGCTTGAATTTTAAAAAAATATGATAGTAGATGGCAACTTACTTAAAATATTGCATGGTGAAAGCATCTTGATATAGGTGTTGTATTTAAAATGTAAATACCATATGCTTAGAACATGAAGGGCCGTCCATTAGTCTTTGAAAAATCAACTCCATGTGAACTAAAAAAAATAAATAAATAAATAAATAATGGTCTTAGATGATCTTGGAAAAACCGAAACTTACACATTGCCATGTTCGGATTTTTCAAGGGATTTTAGCATAATTTAGCAAGTTCTAAAGTTGAGAACTAAATCACAAAGGCTAAGAAGAATTTGATAGGAAAAACGGTTAATGATGGTTCGAAAATAAAATATGACGACTCGTAAATCTTTTAAATTTACGGAATCGACATTATATATATTTATTAGCACACACTAATAAATACATCATCAAATAATCATTTCACTTTGGCAGTAAAATAAATAATACTGCCAACATATCCGTAAAATCCATTTTTCAAATGGATTATATTCGGTTCACATAACTAAACTGTATTCGTCGTACGACAACCGTTTTCCAGTAAAACGATCGAGTACTCCAACATTTTATTTAAGTCGACATAGCGACCAAATAAATTAATTATAACCTTATAAATAATATTCGATATATAGAATATCCCAAGAAATTCTAAAAATCGAACGAGTTGTTACAATCTATTCACATTAATTATTTAATACAAATAATAAACATTTAAACATTTAATTGAAAATTTGGCATTCATTAAATAATAATAATAATAATAACAATACATAATATTAATAATAAACAATCTCAACTAATCATTTCTAAAATAAACGGACCAGAATAAAATTCTAACACTAGCCCGATTACTGAATAGAATTTAACCGAGAATATATTTATTTTATCCACTTAATAATATAATATATATAATCATATTATCAAAGAAAATCAGAAAAATTCTAATATTCAAATGGGGCATTACAATCTATCCCCCTTAAAATTATTTCCGTCCTCGGAAATACTGAAACTAGAAATACATACAACTAGGCACATATGAAAACTCAAAATTCTGGAAAACACACTCTAATAACAGCTTCTAGCTACCAAGTGATCTTATATTAAAATATCAGTAGCCATCACAATAATACACGAGACAACATTATTACCGACATCTCACATCTGCTTTCGGCTGCATTAAATGCACTCTGATAGCAGATGAAGACATTCAGTATGTAATAATGCACAATCATCAATCATGCGCGTCGGTCACACCGATTATAAGCGTATCTCATACGCATCATTTGCCTATAAACTGGCTGCAAAAATCGACGATCTTCCTCAGCAATGGTCCGAACTAACAAATGGATCTAGCACTCTCCAATATTCGCAGATCTTATTCTTTTCTTCCACTTAATATCATAAAGAAAATTTATCGATATCGAGTGGAAAGATTGAGAGTGCTAATGCTCTATAATATACCAAATGATCTCCGATGGTTGATTGAAGCAAAAGTCCGACTATCTGGAGAATTTCCAAATTCTCACAAATATCTATCAGGTATGGGTAGAAGTACGTTTTCAAAGAAACGTAGAGCAAAACGATTAGGCGGATGCTTCAAATGTGCTCGATTGAATTGCGACACTCGATGTAAATCGGTAGGCTTTTTGTCTAACAATCGAGAAGATAAAATAACTTTCATAAAGGATGGCTTGAGTAAGGAATCTATGGATAAAACTCTCCAACAGATTCTTGAGACACATCCTAGTGGATATGTGCATCGAGAGATCATATCTTTATGGACTCAATTCAAAAATGAAGAAAAACTCTATAGTCTGGAAAATATTGTTTCCAATGATCATGTTTGTCAACATTGTTCTTGATAGTACCGATGTACTGTATATAAATATTATCGCTTCTGACAGATAAGAGTCATTTAAGACTCAACTACTTTCTTGTCGGGACTTCTCTTCTTTAAAAGGCAAATCTATCTTCTTAGCCAATTATCTCTTATAATAAATGGCTACTGCCGAGTCTTCTCAAGGTTCTAAACTTCTTCAGCCCCTCAGAACTGTGTGCATTCTTGGTGGTTCTAAATTTGTAAATGTTCCTCACAACATCTATGTTGTAAGCCAACTGGTGAAAGAGTTGGGAAAACATAACATCAACATACTTTATGGAGGAACTAGTATCTATTTCTTTAACAACCTCTTAATGGCTGCTAAATGCTTTGATATCCAGGTGAGAAGTATCCTTCCTTTTTATCTCACTTCATCAAAGGTGGTCAAAGATTCTGCTACTTTGATGATAACTCTTTCAATTTATGACTGCTTGATGTCTATGATATCTGGTTGTGATGCTTTCATCATTCTTCCTGGTGGATATGGAACTTTAATGACTACTTTTACCCTTGCTACTTGGGCAGAAATGAAATTTCATACCAAACCTATTGGTCTGTTAAATTTCAATAACTTTTTCCACCATTTGCTTGGATTTCTAGATGAAGGAGTGTATCAAACTTTTATATCTCCCTTTCAAAGAGAAATATTCAAGTCTGCAAACACATCTTCTGAACTTTGATTTTAAAGAAATTCCAGACTTTTAGAAAAATCAGAATAAATTTTTCAAAATTTATTTCAACCATTTGTGGCGTTACTCATTTATTTCAAGTTATTACTATAACATAATCATCTAACTCCCAAAACGGGATTCATAAATCCATAAATCATCAATTCGCCCAAATTGGGTTCCCAAAATAAAACATAAGTTTTCAAGACATAACAATTTCAACGGGGCATCTCCCCAATAGTATCTCAATACCTCATAAATTCTCAAAGTTCGAAAATACATAAATCATAAATAGTTATAACTATAGCGGAAGAAAAATCAATTAATAACCGGTCTCATAGACCGACTACCACTCGCTCTACTCCGCCATCGTGCCTGCCTTGCTTAACCTGAAACGTGAATTTCAGGTGGGGATGAGCACAGTTGGAAATCGTAGTGCTCACCACTATGCAATAAACAATTTTCATAGTATATACAGTAAAAGAAGTAGTATAATCATAGCATGTATAAGAATCAATTGAATATCCCAACTTTTTCAATATAAATTCACAGTGTTCAGACTCATGTGCACATCTATACCAATAGACTACTGCCAGTAGACGTTTCGAATGCCCCTCGGGCTTCTATCGAATGCCCCATGGGCTTTACGTCTATGCCCCTCGGGCTTATACACCGAATGCCCCTCGGGCTTCTATCGATGCCCAGTCAGTAGGAGTAACCCCTCGGGTTTTCATTTCATAAATACAGGGACAACCGTTCGACGGCCGGTACAGCTCACATCGAAGGCTACATGATTCGTAGACATACATCAATCATACACAAGTAAAGAAAACTATTTATTGCATAGACAATTTTTAATAAAAACCCACCTGGTCGGAATCGAGACAAAATCACAAATTGAGTGTAGGCGGCGAGTTCGACTCGTTAAGCACCTACATTTAATAAAATAGCCCTATCAAAGACTATTTGACAACCACATAGTCCAACTAAGCTTACATCAGCATTTAAACGGGCATTAAAGCAAGGAAATCATATTTCCGAAAATATCACATTAGTTTTAAAAACTTAACCCGGGCAGCGTTTGTAAAACCAACACAACTTTCAGTACACAACTCATATGATTATGAATCAAGTTGCATTGGCATACTAAGATACTAATCTACAATTCTTATGAAGACACCGAAAGCAAATAAGGTCATTTAGCAAGTGATAAATCAACAAACATTCAAAAAAAATGAGTCACAGTCCAAAACTGGGTAATGCACTTGACCAGCCCTCAGTAATTACTCTCTAACTGAAGCTACAGACATGATTTTAATGAAATTCAAAAACGACATGATAGATAACTCAAATTTCTACAACTTTCATGAAGGTCACTTTGGCAAATAAATACATTTTTAATTAGTTTAAACACAAAACATTTGGTTCAGCAAATCTGTCAAGAACTAACATGTGATATGGACAGCACTTCAGTTTTTACAACCTAGACCGAGCTACAGACCTTCAAATGACATGGTTCAAGTTTCAAATTAAATCTTACGCATGCCTCTACAACTTTTATTTAGAACAAAGAAATATTTAAGATCATTTGGATAGGGTAAAATCAGTTCACATTCCATATCAGATGTCTGCCAAAGTAATAAGTCCCAACTCATGCATGTCTAACTTCATACGAGAACAACTCGAGCTACAGAGCACGTATTGATATAAAATTTATCTCATTTGAAAGGTAAGAAACAGATCTACAACTTTTATGAAGGGCATAAGTTCATACGAGTACATTATGACATGAAAAACAGATCACACATTAAAATATATAAGCTGCCGGGTAACCAGAAAAACTGGACGCACACAAATCTTGTAAAAATCATAACTTTATCGATATAGCTCGTAATTGAGAAATTCCAAAGCCCAGATTTAGAAAACTGAACATACTACATTATATGTGAAGACCATATTTTCAAAGAACAGGTTTATGATGGCCTAAACGGCGTCACAACAGAACAGTAGAAACGCTATTCACATGAAATAACAATGAACACATATGACGAATATTCTAAGCTCGACCACGTTTAATATGACTTTTTCGACAGCAAATAAAACGAGTATATTGAGATTAACATAGTAACGACATGTTATTCAGTTTAACGAGGTCACGAGCATAACACGATAAACTGAACGACATATACGAGCCGATAATAATTCTAACCAAAAATCCGACTTCAAGCAAATAATTCGGAAACACGTATGATATATATATATATATACATATATATATATATATATATGTCATGTAATATACGAATACGACCGGAATTACGAGCCCACTCTTCTTCCGAGAAGCCATCACGGGGAAGAAAAATGGCGACACGGGCGCCCCTAGTCCGTCGCCAAAGGATTTTACCTTTGACGGGAATTACGAGCATGCTTGCAGGATTAT